TTGTTAAATTTGATTGGAAACTTGTGAAAAATCACGAGAACAAAAAGTACTTTAAAGCGTATAAAAAATTAAAAAAAATTTTTTTATTAAATTGGCTAAGCCACTGTAGATCATTAGTGAATATCGGTTTGTCCACCATGCTCCCAGTATCGCCACCAAAAAAGTACGGACACGTGATTTTTTGTGGCGCAAACCAATCAGATTTCAAGATCAGGTGTAACGTAACACGATCAGGAAAATTCAAAACAAATGTTCGTTTTGTCAAAAATCGCTTATAACTCAAAAATCTGCATAGGGAACCTCCTTTCGTGCATTAACAAAAAAATTTCCTTGAACGATTTTACTATTAAAATACTAAAATTGTAACCTTAACATAGACCCTAACCCAACCTTAAACGAACTTAAAGATTTTTTGGCGTGATCACGTGTCCGTACTTTTTTGGTGGCGATACTGGGGAAGATAGGAGACAGTACAAAATCACGTGTTTAAGTTGTGATTGGTTTGTTAATGGTTAGGGTTGAGGATTTAAATAACAATAAGCGTTCCCTTATTTTGGATAAATGATGTATACGTATCACTTATTAAAAATCGGTCAACTTCGTGGACCAGATTATTCTTCGTTTTATTCCCAACCACCTTGAAATTTTATGAGAAGAACCTTCAAATGCTAGAATTTGCGAACTTATACCCAAAATTTAAATTGCACAACCTTTTAATCATTAAATAATCCTAGAAAGCATAATTTGCCCAAATTTTACTTATAAAATTTAGGTGTGTTAGTCATTTACCGTTACTCCATATTCAAAATTTTACACACGTGATCTACGTGAAAATCGTGTAATGAAACCAAGAAAACCGTGTTATAATTAGCGCCTATTAGTAAAACATCACGAGGAACATTTTAATTAGGTCGCAGATAGGTCGCAGAAGGTGATTTCCTAATTAAAATTTAGAGTTCTTTTTTATAAAAAAAAAACGATTTTTATGTTACACCTGATCCTGAAATTCGATTAGCGTTATTTTTTTTTTTCGGTGTAATTATTGGAAGAACTCTTGTCAGCGAAACTTCGATTTGCACTTGATTGAATGCTATAGCACCTCTCGATAAGATTGAACTGTTAATATGAAATTTTATTTATTTAATGGGGACAACTGCTTTTAGATAAATGATTCTGGTAAAATCACGGGCAATTCATTTATCGCAATTAAAAATTACAGAATTAATACGTAATGGTGGACCATTTCTATAAAGGGTTTAATTTTTCTAAAGAAATATTAGATTATTAATTTTTTATATATACTTATTGTGCACATATTATTAGATCTACAGTAACATATCACTTTATTCAATATACCCTACTTAGTCATTAAATAAATATAACGGTTTTAATAATTTATAACATTGATTTAACGATTGGTGGTGTTGGATTTTTGAATTTTACACTAAAATGGACGTATATTTAGATATTCCAAATGAAGAAATCTCGATTTTCAAACCCAAATTATGTAGAAATGTCAATTCAAAAAAGGTCTAGATTATAATCCTAATCTATTTAGAATAGTGTCAATTTCAGTGCTTATTTTTTTTACTCTTTTTAGTCGTTACTACTTTAAAAGCACCAGCACCATTCCCTGTATAATCGTCCTTTGCACTATTACTTCCATTTGTAAGATCTTTGTTCAATTTACTGTCCGAATGATGGCTTAATAAACTGCTCATTGGCAATCCATTTGCATCAGCTTTCCTTCTTTTAATAAATTCGTCAGCAAATCGACGACCATCTAGTGTTGGTGAGGTAGCATAAATAGAATCTTGAATAATCTCGATAGTTTCCGGGGGTGGATCAAGAGGAAACGTTAATAACATCTGAATAAACTCGTCGACTTTTGTCGTAAACCGTTATTTATGTGCATTAATTAAAAAAAGAAAGGAACTATTGATTAAATATCATTTTGAAAGAAATTATATGCAATAAAAATGATCGCATATGTACCATTTGGGTTATTCAATCCGCGTAAAGCATTTCTACACCATTTTAAAAATTCTTCAGAAGGTGGCCGTGGCGTAGAATATTCGATACTTTTATTATTATTATTATTACTGGCGACACTATTTGTCATAGGTTTAGGTATACCCGTATTAGCAGTTGTTCTGGTACCACTTTTTAAGACCTCAGCAGGCTTGGCAGATTGGTTTACAACTCTAGAATGGTATGCAATGTATAAGGTAATTTCCATTTAATATTACAGTGCGTTAAACTTATGGAATTACCTTAATCCAGTCTGAACGCCGTTGATCTGCTTGTGTTCGGTATCTAAAAGCGAAGCATCTTTAGTAGCTATATTTGTTTTTGTTACACCGGGTAATACGCTACTTGAGTTCAAAATATTCGGTGGAGTAGTAGTAGTGATGCGGTTAGATGTTTTACTTGCAACAGTTGTCCAAGCATTAGTCGTGGAGCTTATCGATGGCTTCTGTTGAGCGTAATTGAAGATTAATAGTAAAAAATCAATAGTAAATAAGAATAATTAAATAAATATATAAATGTAAATACAAATAAATAATCTATATCTAAAATAATAACCTTCGAATTTACGTTTAAATTTCCAATGGATACCGTATCCGCATAGCGTTTTCCCATGTTATTTGGAGCAGTCGTTCCACTAGATGCGGAAGAGCTAACCAACGCTTGTTGCATCTCACGCATCTTGTTA